AGAAAAGAGTGCAAGAAGTTTAGCTAAAAAGAACAGACCTGTTGCTTGAAAGTACAATATATTATTGCCGGTCTAAAATTATTTATACTCGTATATTCCTGATTGGAAAATCACATTTTTCCTAATTAATGAAAAAGTCACGTAACAGCAGAAATGTCCGAGAAATAATGCGAAATAGAATGAGTTCTCGTTATGAATACTCACCAAGGCGATACATAATTGTTGACACTTTTCTGCGCCTTCTTGATCGCAACTCACATTGAATTGCAACCTGTGTTCTATTATCGACTTCGTCCCCGGAACTGGAAACACTGCGCAACTGCATGCATTCTCCGTGATTTCCTCTTGCCTGGTAAAATACAATTTCTTTTAAAATGCAATATTGCAATAATTGTGAGATCGATTGCGAGACTAAAATATTACATTTCGAAGAAAATTAGATTTATGTGAGCTAATTTGACATTAATTATTTCAAAGAAAAAAGAGCGTACACTTAGACAAGTAACTTTGTAATCAAGAATGATCAAGTGAGATTATTATTTCATTTGTCCATATATTGTTCCTATATTATCGTGATCAATTGCATTACATTAATGCATCTATTTTGAACTTTTGGATATAATTATATTATAATATAATTTAATTATATAAGAACTTTGAAATACAATTATAATTTAATCTTTTCAAGTCAATGCATATTTTTTTCATTTTTTCACTATCGTGTTTCACAAGATTCCTGCTAAAAATGTGAAAGTGAAAACAAGATAAAATCTGTAAAACTGTTTTTTTGTTATTTGAAGGGTGAGGTGTTTGAGACGTCATAACGAAAAATTCGCACAAGAATATAAAAACATTTACTGTTTAAAAGTTTCGATATAGCACCGGGTACATCGACAGAAGAATAATTGTATAATTATAGTATATACTTAATTAATATATATTATACTTTATATATTATACATATATATTTGTACATATATTATATAATTTCATTATAGTTACAATATAATCATAATTAAAATTAGAACTTAATACATTCAGAAATTTGCAATTAGTTTTTTGCAAGCAAAATATATTTAAATATTCGTGATGTCACTATCTTACGTCGTAAGAGGCAAGAGTGCCATCAGAAGAAGGAATCGTCCCGCTGTCTTCATTGTACACCTCAATTTACACCTCGCGTTCGAGATCGTTACGAATAAACCGCGATTATCACGGACGATCGAGCTGCACGCGGCATATGTAGACTCGCGTAATCGCTCCGCTTATCCTCTCTCCTCGTACGTACATATACATATATGTAAGTGCGCACGGTGGAATGCATGCGTAATCATGCGATACCATTGTTAGTCGCAGGCGTCCTCTTCGCAATGGTTCGAATTTTACGTCGATATCCAATCGCGGTGTTCCTACAGAGATAATAACTGTCGCGATGCAACCCGAGAATACCATCGTCGAACGCATGCATTCGCCGGCGTTCGTTTCGTCGACATAACGTTATCAGCCACGAAAAATATACGCGGAATTCCTATTAATACGATGTTGTTTTGATATTTATCGATCGATTCTTTTTCTTCCCGTAACGTCTGCTTTCAAAACTGCATATTTACTTGCATCTTTCGACGTCTTATTCTCCGAAAGGTTCCTTAACTCTCCGAACCACTTGCTTCTTGAAAAATTTTTCCCTAGGAGGGTTTTCCTGCAAACTGTACGTGTCCTCGAAATCTATTGATAAAATATAAATGTGATATAAATAAATGAAATAACATCTGGAAACAGAAATGATACGCTATTCTACGAAAGGTTCCCTGATCTTCGATCGTTCTCTCTCGATTCCTCTCTCTCTAACTTTAAAACTACTTACTTCTCGAACAAGTTTTCCCTGGGAGATTTTCCAACAAATTGTGGTCTCAAAATATAGATAAATAAAATACAAATACGATATAAATAAATGAAATAGCATCTAGAAATAGAAACAGAAAATAATGTTAGGAATACTCATATTATACAAGTGGTGTTTTTATACGTAACTAATTAGTATTTTATCACAGCTTTTAATGTACATTAATGTATTCAACCGAGTTTATCATAAATTTTACAGAGAATATATATATATATATATATATATAATATAAAATATAAATATACAATATAAATTTACAACATCAATGAAAAGTGTTTATATAACAGCATAAAACAGAATACGTACGCTTATTTGCATATAATAATTTTCTCTCTGACATATAGAGTTACGAGAGACTAAAATTATACATTTGAATTAATATTAAAAATATAAAATTTTAGTTTTAAAACGATATACTTTTTGTATGGGAAATTCGGCTTCTGACAAAAAAATTTGCACTGTTTCTTTTTTAGAAAAATGCATTCACAATCTTATTCCTAAAATCTCTTCATCTTTAATCTAAATATTCAAACATTTTAAAAAGACATTCCACCTCGCTATTAGTTGATCCAATCTTTTTATAAAATAACATTTTGTTAAATAACAAAACATTAATTCTATTAAAGTAAACTTATCAAAATGTACAATAATAAGATTAGAATTTAATTATTAAGATATAATTATAAGTGTTCACAAAATAGTGCAAATATTGCTTAGTAAATTAATTACCAAAATTTTATTAATTGGAGCTTCACCGAGAAATCTCCCATTATATTATTAAATTATATTTCGCAACATTCCGGACGAGAATACAATCTATAAGGAAAAAATAACAAAGAATAAAATAATAAAATAATTAATATTATTAGTATTATTAAATTACCAAAATTAATATACACTATAATATTACTAAATTACTAAAATTAATATACTAATATTACTAAATTGTCAAAATCAATATTATTAATATTACTATCTAATTATAACAATAAAATAATTTGTTTTTTCTGTTTTATCTTTTCAGTATTGGCCAAGAAATTCTATTGTTTTCTCTTCTCGCGGTTGCGGTTCAGATGATTCAGTAGTGCAACCATGTGACCGGCGTATCGCCGTCTGCGCAACGTGTAGCCATTCTACTAGTCCGACATATGCTCGTTTGTACCAATTGTGGATTAACTTTAGAGCCTCTTTCACCAACCCCGATTAACGCTAATCGATGGTTAACTCAATCATCACGATTGCCAGTGCGAGAGACAAACACAAAGGAGGAAGAGAGAGAAGACATTTTGATACATAAAATTGTTGGCACTTCTGCGAGTTGATCGTAGATTAATTTAATCAGAAGTTGATGAAAGAGGCCCTTAATTTCGATTTAACTTACTCTTCACCTTTTTCTAGTTCTAAGGATTATAAAAAGAATTAAGAAGAGTAAATTAAACCAATCAATCCACATTGGTAGAAATAGTGTTCCTATAGGAACACTAGGGATGCATTCGGGGAGACACTATCAGTGCTATTTGTGCCATTCTATTTTCATTGTTTATTAGACGTAAAACAAAGATAGATAACACAAATAGCGCTGATAGCGCGATTCTCGAATGCAGCCTAGGTAGAAACAAGCCATAGCGGCCAGTTTAGTATGTACAGTAGTACAGTCAGTCACGTGATAGGTATATACATTGCCGTCTGACGTGTCACGTGTCGTCTGTTCTACTGACACCGACATGGCATCCGTCATCAAAGGTGCGACATTCACGGTATCGTTCTAAAACGCATGAAAATGCTTGCACGTATAATTGAAGGACGATATACATAGCGCACTTAACATTAGGTATTAGCACACTATCATTGAATCATACGCGTTTCCGCAGACACGGGCGAGATCTGGGGTAGATTGTTCGACCATCGTCCGTTCATCCAGGGGGAGGTCACGTTCTTCCTGCGAGAATTTCAGGTGAGCTCCTGCTGATCGCGGACTTGGTATGACAGCGACGTTACCTCGGCACCACCGTCATGCCGATTAAACGAATTGGAATTTAAGTAGAGATATTCGCTCGCGATGTAATTTAAATGCGTGGACATAACCTACAAGTTGTGAAGACTTCAATTATAAACAAAAATGCTGATGAAAATTATGATTGCTCTTGTCTGCATGATAAAACGTTTTAATATTCTTTTTTAAAAAGCTTCTTTTAGTTATCAATTTATAAATCTTTAGAATTTATATTATATTTATTCTTAATTAGTATTTGTGGGTTCGGTGTGTATTCGTAAATTCAGATTTTTTTACGTTGTAAAAAAATTGTTATATTCGCAACCTTACATAATTTTACGTTGCATGATCTTATTCCTTGAATTTTTTGACCTTAAAGATGAAAAAAAATATTTACTTATATAAATTTTAAGCCAAAGTATATTAATTTAAAGTATACTGGACCTAATAATACCAATTAAAGAAATGTTCAGAGCCAATATCGATCAGAGTTAATTTAAATTTATATCGTGACATCAGTATTGTTTGTATTATAGAAATTCTTGTATAGCAAGCATTTAAATATTATATTAATATATATATTTAAATGTACACAGTAATAAGTTTTTCAATACAGAATGATTCTACAAGATTGCATTCATTATTAGGAAAAGAGATCTGACAGGGAGGTAGAACGTCTGTTTAAAATACTAGAGTATACGACAGAACTGAAGGAGAGCCAGTTAGATCGCACTGAGCAACTTGGCGATTGTCATTTACCTAGCCTCAAGGCAAATGTCGATGTCGCGCTGAGTATGTGCAACCGTGTTTTACAGAGGGAGGAAAATTTCGATAGTGTACGTATGCCAGCTTTTATATTTTTTATTTACTTTACGTGACCTAAGAAAGGATAAATTCATATAGAAACTTTTTGTAGGATAACGTTTTGAGTGAGAACAGATTGCTTAGGAAAAAGGAGTGGGAGAAATTCATAAATGATATGAGCAATAAGTGTGAAAAAGTGGACCAAACTTTCCAGGAGAAAGAAAACGAAATACAGGAGTTCTATGTTGACTTGGAAAAGAAATTGCATATTACATCATAACAATTATTTTTTAGTCTATCCGTGCATTACCTCTCCTAGAGTATTTTAGCGTTTAATAAAGACCTAATTATTTCCTTAAGATAGAGTGTATTAAATTTATTTAAATATGCCACTAGAGTCGATTGTAGATCCTACTGTAATGATAAAACCATCTAAGAAATTGACAGATTTCATCTTGTACAATGTAAAAGACACAGATGGTGCACCGGATGGCATCACATCCTTGCACAGCAAATCAAAAAAATTCAAAAAAGAGAAGATTTCAAATGTCACGTTAAAAATCGAGGATCTCAGATGGCTGAACAAGTATCTGAAAGAGAACAGAAAAACTGCAACGAAAAAAATCTACCTGCACGAACTTTTCGATGATTCTGATGTAATATTACCGACGCCAAAGGAGACGCCACGAAATCCAGAATTGGAGGCCAGAATACAAAAATTAGCGGCGCAACAAAACAACAGAGAATATCAAGCAATGACGAAAAGTATCGATTCTTCGCGAAAATTCCTACCGGAAGACAGTGTCGCGTATCAAAGTAAACAAAATATTTTTATATAATATTTTTAATCTATAAAATGCCTGTAAAAGACAATTTAACGCGGGTTTCTAATATTATTTTATTTTGCAGTGAAGCAGATAAACAAGCAACTGATCGCCGTCGCGCAATTTGTATTTTCTGTGATAGCTGGCTTCGCTTTTGGTTTCATTGGAGTAGAACTAATAGTCGGGGACCTAGACTTCGGGTTTAGATTACTCCTAGGTATAATTTGCGCGCTAATTATAGCATTGGCCGAGATCTATTTTCTAGCTTTAAAATTAAATGAGTACGGTTTCGATGTCACATCCAAATCGACAAAATCACATCAAGACTAACGTTCCAAGTTTCCAGTTCAGTCGTTCCATTAATGAATATATGTTATAGCAAAAATATAATCTTAAAATGCTAATATAAAGCAATACGTAAGCTACTTTTGCTAACTTTGTATTGTACAAAAATTTGTTAAATGTACATCGCTCGCCTACGATTATATATACAACATTCTTAAAGACCAAATAAAACGAGATATTATGATATCATTGATTTATTATTATCAAAATAAAAATCAATTTTAATTTTTAAATATGATAAAACATGATTATAAATAAATATTAATGTCATGAGATATATATGTACAAAAATATATGCGAAAAGAGGCATGTGTAAAAAGATCTTAATAGTGTACTTTCATATTCGATTCTGAGCATATAAAAATAATTATTTTTTTCTAAGATAAAATTCTCATGATCTATTACAAATTTTGTGACTGTGTTTATTTGTTCTGCAATATAGACGCACGATCTTGGTACTAGATAAATCTTGTTAATCTACGACAGTTTATAAAAAAATAAACCAAAATTTGTTAAATAATCGAAGTCTGTTGGAAGCAGAAATCGACGAATTCATCTCTTATTGTTCTCTTCACTGTCACTTTTCACACTGCTTTCACTTTTGTCACTGTCTGAATGACAAGCACCATTCTCCTTGGTTTCACTTTCCTGTTCACTGCTCGACGAGTTCCCATTATCTCCCTTTGTTTCATCGCTATCTGAACAGGAGTCCGTGTCAGAGTCACTGTCGCTGTCTGAATCAGAACTGCTCTCCGAGGAACTGCTGCTGTTAGGTTCTTTGGCTGCCATCATTTCCTTAAATTGCCGAACCGTGATCTTTCTAGGCATTATTTCTCGCAGAAACTCCAGCGTGTCGTTGGTCTGTACTATCTCTGCTAGGTGTTTATAATCCAGAGAGGGTCCCTTGTTGCTTTGCATGTGTGCTTCCTCTGTCAGGTAATGTATGAAGAGTTCCTATATGCAAAGTGTTTATCTAGAGTATTGAACACTAAATTAATAAAGCCTAATAGTAATCAATTCATAGTTTAAAAACATAGAGACTATGGCATTTAAAAGACTTAAGCAGTAAGCGAAGACTAATCACAGTAGATAATACTTAAACTGTAGCAAATCCAAAATGTTGATTTGATTATTGCTTAAGTTTTTTGCGTATTACACTTTAAAGGCGAGAAAAATAAATAAAATTAGTCTACTCACTTAAAAAAATTAATATTTAATATATTGGTGACGCAAAGATTCTCCCCAGTGCACCTAGCTGCCATAAATAGAATTAGCTTAAATTAAACAGCGTACTTTATATATAACAGCCCATCAAAATTAATAAATAATGAGTCGCGAAAACATGATACCATTTTTTGTTGTATGTAATGGTTTTGTTCATGTTGCATAAAATCCCCAAATATTTTTGCATTTAAAATGAAATAGATATACATTAGGCATTGAAAAGAGAGAAAGCAAAGACGCTGATTGCAAAAAGTGCAAGCAACATAAATAGGGTCAATGTACAATAAATCAATCTCAAAATATTCTTCAGTGGTTTTGAAACTGAAATAACATCACCTAAAAAACGCCAAATAAAAGCCAGATTATATCGAGCTATATGCAGACTGAAATGCAAAGTATTCACTTATCAAAGTATCATACATCAATATTGTAAGTTTTTTTTTATTTGATGAAGTATTTTCTAAAATGTATCCAATTTGTTTCATAAGTAAATATAACAATCAAATCCAGAAATACAGATTCTAATACCAGCAGTATTTAAACTTTGAGAACTCATTACTCAAAAAGTTCTTATTAAAAAAGGATTTGTAAACATCGTTTTAAAAACGTCTCCTCATCAATTAAAGAATATGCAATAAAAAATGGTAGTTTATAATTAAGAAATTTTAAATAACCTTGATCTGACCTAAAGACATCTTCTTAAAGCCAGTCAAGGTTATCATCTTTTTTTCCTCTAATAGCTAAGCAACTTTTGTTTGAAACATTTTTATTTTAAACTTAAGAATTTTTAGATATTCTAATGAATAATGGCACTCTATAGCATCTTTTTATTATCTTTTTTACCAACGGACATAACTAATCCACTATTTAAAACTTCTTCACCCTCATGGGTCTCATAAAGTTTTCTGTTGCTTTTACTGCCTTTATTACGGATAACATTTAAAAAAAAATATAAAAAATTGTTCAACTTGATATAAGATAATTTACAATCACTTTAGTTTGTCTGCTTTACGCTGTAAATCTCGTCACTAAGAACGCTCGGGAAACCTTTGCGTCGCCAATTGGTCATTATTTATTTAATAAATTAATGAATCGTGATAGACCTTTAGGAACGTCCTATCTAACCTCCAAATCTTACCGTGGCTTTTGTGACCAAGAACAAACCGTCCTGGCCGACGGTATCAACGCTAGGCGAGCTCTTCATAATTGTCTTTACCCTCGAGATCGGCAGACGCAGCTCTTTTAACTTCACGGAAGAACTTTGTGTGCTCATTACGCGCACTTATTCTTGCCTTCTATTTTTATTTATGTAGAAAAAACGCTAACCGAATAAAAACGACCGCAAAGAACTGACATCAACTTCCACCAAATTCTACGATTTGAAGTGCAGCGATTAGTTCGGCGATGCTCCCTCGCGCTGCAAATGGCGCTAGTTTCATTATGGAACACGAACCAAGAAGTGCAACAGAAAGGAAACCACCCTTCAATACCATGGTTATATTCGGTTTGCACGCTTACATGCTTTAAGCGCTTATAAGTATTTACATTGGGTGCATCCAGAAGCACGATCGCTCACTGAAAGCTCAATGAGCTCTCTTTTACCTGTTTGATCTACATTTTTAGATCTAATGGAATATGCCAATCAAATGCAAGAGCTCACTGAGCGCTCAGTGAGCAATCGTGCTTCTGAATGCACCTATGGTTCGCTTTGGCGGTGTAAGCACTCAGAGATGCGTTCATGTCATCCGTAACGTCATACTCATGCTCACGAATGCTGATTTCATCAAGATAGGGCAGCAAAAGCGTAAGCACAAATAAGCGCTTATTGGCTAAAATAAAGGTGAGCATAGGGTTCGATCTTAACCCTAGTAAGTTAGATCCATGCACGTTTTTTTATGATTAGAGAAATGCTTAACGAATGTGTTGGATTGCGTACATATTTTAACACTTTCGTAATATACTTGTATACAACGTCTACAAACGTTTCCCGATTTTGTGCTGATAAAAAAAGAACTTTGTTCATCAAGGAACTAAATGTTTAAATTTTCACCAATAGGAAAAAGAATTTACTCATACAAAGATGACATTAACAGATAAAGTTCTAGTTGATTTAGAAGGTGCACACAGACTGGGAATATATACACGATATCTCTATCTCCTGATGAAGTACGATTTAAATGCACCTTCAGTGAAAGGAAACAAGAGATTATAAGACAAAAAAAGTTATGTTGAAAAAAATTTGCAAAATTGTAATATTTGTTTAAATAGTATGGGACATTTGTGCTTACAGTATATAAATATTTATTTTAAGAAATAATACTTAAAGTATTACTTTTTATTGAATATAATTTTTATTCGCTATAAGCAAAAGTCTCATACTATTTTAAACAGACATTTATTAAAATTTCATAAATTTTTATTTTTAATGTATAAGAAGCGAATTACTTACGGTCAATTATCAATTACATGCCCAAGCTTAACGCTTAATAGCCAAAATAAATTTACTTATTTAATGTGAGCCCTGACAAACCAAAAAACGTTTATAAGTATGAGCGCTTACAGCGTGTGAGGATACAAACCGAATGCAGCCTAGGTCTGTTCTTTTTGGCTAAACTTTTGCATCCGTTCATCTTCCTTCCTCTTCTTTTTTTCTGGAGAGAAAAGGAAGAAAGATGAACTAGTTCAAAAGTTCAGCCAAAAAGAACAGGCTTAATATCTCGTTTTTCCAGCAATTACACTATAGAAAGTAATTGGCTGTCGCAATTTTAGAGCGGTATTTATAAAGCAATATTCGTAGATTGACCTCTTTGAGATTGTTTTAAATTTGTTGAAAAAAAATCCAATCTTACATTTAAATGAGCTCATTTTGGAAAAACGTTTAAGACGATTTTAAATGTATAAAATTAAATTATAAATACCTGTATAGGATCTAATAGACTTGCTATTATAGGTCTCCAAATTAAAACACTAGTAGGTCTCTACACTAGTATCAGCGATATTTTGAATTTAAGAAGCATCACAATAAAATTCTCGCAATAAATACTCGCTGCTAAGCAGATTACATTTAAAACGTAGCGATAGTTCTCTTAAAAATACAAGCGAAAAAATAAATATATTATGTAAAATCATTCTTAAAATGCAAGCAATAACGTTGAAAAAATATCTTCAATATCTATTCGGAAACAGTACCTGTATAATGAAATTCTCTTGACATTTTCCCCCGCTGCTCCATCTGCTTGCCATGTAGAACAAAATCGTAGAATAAGGAAACAAGTAAAAACGGAGAATATATATAATAAAATAAAAGCGAAAATCAAGGGGAGATTCCACAGTAGAACGATGACATTGTTTTATCAATTCCAGAATTCTATACTGTACAACCAGTATTATTCCGACATTCATACAGATATAATAAAAATATTTTACAAAGCGCGATAACGGTAGAATTCTATAACTAAATAACTAATATTAATACCGGCGCATAATGTAGTAATATATGTCAGCAGCATTATAGGTAGAGTGGACAATATCAAATGAGTTTTATGGAGTATTTCGATACCTGAAATAAGAATAACAATCAACATATCTAAAACAATAAAAAGAGAAGAGATGACTACTTAAACTTTGCGTTCTTACTTGCGTAACCGAGGAACGTTATGTAAATATAATAACCAATAGATATAAACCAAAAAGTATTCCCAATGAATCGCCCCCAAAATGTATCGTTATTTATAAGACCTGCAAAAATGAAATGCATTAAATAATATTTGATGGTGCATCTTTGATACAAAATATATGTGAAATCCAACCATTATATAGAAATAATTGTAAAATGTGAAGTATAACTAATGGAGGAAACACTGCATTTAAGTGGATGTCAAATGCATAGCCCCATTCAACGTCTTGTGTTCTGTCTATCCTGAGATATCGATTTGTTATAAACCTATAAATAAATATATAGAATTAAAACTTGAGCTAGCTTTAATTGATTAATGTTAATTTCTACTAATATGAATTAATTTTAATCTCAATTTAATCTACTCTTCATTTTTTTCTTTAAATTAAAGATGAAGAATAAGTTGAATCGAGATTAAAATTAATCTACATTCACAGACTTATATAAACAGACTGCTGACTCAATTTGATAGAAAGAGATAAACCTGATTCTGAGCTGTCTGTTTTAGTTTCCATATGCATATGTACGTATCCTGTCTACGAGTATCATGTAAATTTATCCATGTAATTTATACATGTGTGAGTGAGAGAACTCAAATATGGCGCTGCCCAGCGCTGTCTTCAAACATGGAGGCGAAGTTGGCAGTCTATTTATAAAAGTCTGTGTCTACATTGATAGAAACAGGCATTAGAAAAAAATAAATCAAACCGAGATTAAAGTTATTCTACATTAGTAGAAATGGATAAGTTGATTTTAGAGCATTAATTAATATCTCTTTTTTACAAAAAGTATAGTCATAAAAAAGCAGTAATCTTAAAAAGCAGTATAACTTTACAATTAGCTTACCAAAATATCGTTGCTATTAACAATCCAACAGCTAGATAATCAATGAACATCATATAAAGCAACAACTTCATGAATTGAAATATTCTTAAATTCAGCATCAATCCTAAACCGATAGTAGATATGCAGAAACAACCCATGACCAATACTAAAAATGCAGGGTCATCTCTTGCAAAATGCGATTTTGTTTCTACAAAAATCCAATGGAAAAATCGTAAGACTAAAATATATACTACTAGTATATCTGATATATCGGTATGTAACATACGTTTTCTGTTTTGGAAGTTTCTATATACTTTTTGTGGCGCTACAAATAGATAGATCATCTGCCACATAGCAAACTCAAAATCCATCTGTTCGAACTTCAGCAATTTTCTCAGATATTTGTAGCTTTTTGTCGCCGCCCCCATACAATTATGTCTGCAAGATAACAAGTCATTTAATCAAGCCACTTTACTACGTTTTTTTTTTTACCTTAAAACAAAGTGATAAACTATAGTAATAACAATTCTAAAATGCATGCAATGTGAGATCAAATCATTTTGTGAAAAGATAATAAAGTTAAATGATGGAATGGAAAGTGGATACGTTAATATTTAAGTTATAAATTACAACAAAATAAGACGATGCATATCCGTGACGTTACCTGTAAACGATCGGCATCGGCAACGAGGATGAGAATTCTGTCGGAACAGGCGAGTGACACCGACTTGTTGGCGGCGACGTGGAATACTTCATTTTCAGTCCTTTTGACAGCTCGCACCTCGCGCAATCACTTTCGATCAATAAGCATAACCCGTAATAAATTAAATTCTCTCGCGATGCGGTTTCAGGTTATGTTTGCGTATTATTCACTATTTTATTATGACAAGTCCAAAAACGCCTACTGTGAATTTACGCCCTCTACGGTAAATATCAAAACCATAGCACGCTCGATAATAAATGCAATAAAAAATGATAAAAAAAAGTTTTAAAATAAGTATATCGCCCTCAGTAAACTATTGTCGAATAAATTAAATAATTAATAAATGTTTGCGAAATAATCTCGGGATAATTATAGATTACAAAATTAATGTCGCATTACAGGTGCGAATCTTGAAACTCGGATGGCAATATCAATTAACTCTGTAATTATTGAACTTAATATATATAACGTACAATTTTCTAATTTATTTTATTTTTACCATAAATGTATATTCTTTAATTTACTATAGTATAATAAATGTGTGCGTATGTGAATACATATACTCTAAACCTTTTTATAATGCATACGTTAATTTTTTCCGCAATTTTATTACTCTTTAAACAATAATCAACGTTATTCAGTTTCCATTCTATTATTTAACTTAATATCTTTTTACAAAGTGATTTAATCTTACTTTTAATCTTACTTTTACTGTACATTTTTATGATACATATTGTAAAAAATAACTCTTATGCGATTATAAAAAAGGATTGTTAAAATACAATCTTAAATAACTGAATCAATATTTTCATTAATGATAATGGCGTAGACATACATACAGATCACGCGAAAATGTATAGGAAATTGTATTCTGCCGCATTCTGCATATTAGATATACGACTAATCGATTTCTCTGCATGTATGCTTCGTGTAGTAGATGCTAAATTAATCTGGATAGGCCTATAGAGAATGCAATGTACGTTATGCTTACGCATATATATATTGCTACTTGAAAATACTATAAAACTCAGATGAAAAATTTTTTACAGCCCTTTAAAAGCATATTTAATCATATATTAATGTTAACTGTGTGCTGTTATCAATATTATAATTATTATTACTCAACTATTAAAAACACGTATGTCTTCCGTCTTGTTTCATAAAAGATACAAAGTAGAATATAATACACAAGTTAGTAAATTTAAAAAAAATGCTCTTATAAAATAGAAATGTCTTCAATCCTACAACATGTATTTGTGCTGTACAGCACGTAGGTATGTTACGGAATAAATAAAAAGTAGACAGATTCCACAAATTCTAATCAGCAGGATAATTGTGTGATTTTTAACACAAGAGCTCACACTCGGTCAGAATGTCCAAACAAAAATGTTTTTATTTTGCTGAATTTTTTAATTTGCTTCCGCCGGACTCTGCCAGTAATGCGCTTGCATGGATAATCGTTGATTGTTACTTGGCTTGAGAGGCGTCACGCAGCGGGCGGCATCTGGAAATCGCTCGTGATAACGCTCTAATCTCAGGTACTTCACAGTCACTAAATTACCTGCAAAGAAAATGTAAATCCTAAAATAAAGATAAGCGATTCTCTGAAGAATCAATTTTTTCGCGCACCTGGGGTACATTCCAGCACTTAATGCTTGTAACGTTCTTGGAATCACTTCATCCTTGCTACTTATAAAATATTAAACAAAGACAAATGATACTCGCCAATGTGTAAGCATCAAATGGAGCACAGCCCGAGGTGTGAAACAATTGATTCTTCAAAGATTGTCCATTGAAGTACATTGCAGTATATGCATTAAAATCAATATAAAATTAGCATAATGTTGGCATAAGTTTGCAACAAGGATTATATTATTAAAAAGAAAAAATTATATACTAATATTATGGCTCATATTCAGAACGTACTTACAACGATGTTAGCGCGCTAACATGCTATAATTTACGTTACGCATACTATAGAATTTTAGAGATAAAAAGCGCGTTTTGAATATAGGCCTATATCTTTAACACTTCTTCATTAATATTATGTTTCATAAGTTTTTCAATAATTAAGAGTTTAATGTCTATTAAAGCTCCAAACTGGATCTTAAGTACTTTTAAATAATTTCTGTGTAAATTTATATGCTAAAGATGTAGTCATTTGAACTGCGCGCCGAAATGATTTTTCGAATAAACGCAATTAAACTATTATAGTAATATCACAAATTAAACTGATACTCAATTTAATAATTTAATAAATTTATTTACAGTTTTTCAATACATTAACATCTTTTTAATAGGATGTCAAATTATTAAATTGCTTATCAATTTAATTTGTGATATTACTATAGTAGTTTAATTATATTTATAAGTCCGAAAAATCATTTCGATAGTTTAAATGACTATTTAGTATATAAATTCACATAGAAATTATTTAAAAGCATCTAAGATTAGGCCTGTCCAATTTGAGCTCTGGAGCCAAAACGCAAAGCCATCGATGTACAAAAATTCAATGTGAATAAGATTTTAAGAACTATGAACTGTTGATAAGCGTCACTTAGATGCGAATCAATACTTTACAGTCTCCGCAATTTTACCCACATTGAATTTTTTTGTGTCGACGGCTTTGCGTTTTGGTTCCGGAGTTCAAATTGGACAGGCCTGATCTAGCTTCGATCATAATAGGCATTAAACTCTTATTTGTTGTATATTGTACGGTCACATGTACGGTCTTAATAAATCATTCATTATCAATAATATTAGCGAAATTCTGTGTACACATGAGACGCCAACAGCCAGTGTTTGAGAATTAAGTTTATAGAATAAGAATTATAGTTTTTGTTACACATACCATCGAACCAACAACCATGTAATGCCCTGTAAGCTTTGCCAGCATCTTCCTGCGACATACATTTCATATAAACGCAACCTTCACGGCTACCAATGTCTACTCGAATGTGAAGTATCTTTACACCCTCCCCACACTTCTCTAAGATGGCATCTTGCACTCTCGTTTCCCAGTCGTCTTCGGTTTCGCTATATCGTAGTAAAAAGTGACTTAAATCATTAATCAATTTTAGATTATAGACGCACTCATGCATTACTTACATATCTGGATCAAACATGTGCCTGATTTTCAAGCAGGGTGTCGGCGAACAAGTCAAGCTATTAACTGACCCCTCCATCGTTTCGAACGCTTGTCCTTGCCAGACCTTCGGTTTCTTACCCAAAGCCGCGTTTTGCACAGGAGATTTATTCAAAGCATTATTTGGCAACCATCGCCAGACATGAAACTCTTCACCTGCCACTTGCTGCACTTCTCTTCGAATTCTACAGATCAAGATCATATCCCGTTACATAACTGTAAGATATAAAATAAAGACGTACAAAAGATTTTTTTACCTGGATTCATTTTCATCTAGAAACTTGACTGCTTTTTCCCAAAGGCTGGTCATTCTTTTACGATCTTTTGGTGGAATAAGATTATCTCGCACATGATTAATAGCAAGGAAAGTTTCCTGCGCGCCGGGTTGCGTGGACGCATTTTGGTGATGTGTCTCAACGATACTTATAATATCGCTAACAAGCTTAAATACTTCTCTCTCCATATTTTTCTTGTATCTTAGGTACCAAAAGTACGATTTATAAATTCCGATACCTGTTAATGAGACTGAAGATGCACAGGTACTAGTACAAATCTTTCGATACATGTAGTTCTGTCTATGTATGCATTGCAATATCGTAAACAGATATTACTTTGCGAATTATTTGTAAATTTTTTGTAATACGTATTTCTTTTTTTTATACATTTAATATCTATATGAAAAATATGTATCTTTCGATGCACTTCAGGATATAAAAAAAGAAATGTCTCGTTACAAAGTAATTTCAGTTTACGACAATATATTAAAGACAAAATTATATCGGCAAAGCATAGAGAATCATTTTAAACTACTTTACTTAAAGTATAGCTTACAGTACACCATAAAAAAGTAGTGAATAATAATCTTATGAATATATACATCATATATTAACGGCATGCACATAGGATCTTATAACATAGAACAAGGTTCAGGAAGTTTTCTCAAATAAACAATCTGTTAGAACTTTACCGATTGCCACTATAAGAGCAGAAGAAATGATGGTAAAAATTTTGTTCTTAACAAGGCATTGCATTGGCAGCACAGGATTTAAAATTGCCATTCCAATTTTTCCATTTAGACGAGCGGAAAATAATTTATCCTGTAACAATTAAACAAATGTATTAATACGATAATATATTTCTACGCCTAAAAAAGAGAAATAGATGAATATATTTACTAAAGTATCCAATATTTCCATGGTTGCTCCATTATCGTCATTTACATCGATAAGCGAAATGCCCCATTTCGGATTCTTAATGATTAAAAATTGCGCGCTATGCAAGTCCTCCTTCACCTCAAGGCTTGTCTGGAAATGAAGAATTATTGATATACAATCGTTAAACGAAATTAATTCTAGTTCTCAACCCACCACTTTCTCGCTCGTAAACATTTCCACTATATCCGCATTAGTCAAGTATGGTTTCTCATTCGAATTTTCGCATATTTTAGATATCGTTTTTCCCGTTAGAATGGGTTGCAAATGTCTTAACAATTGTAACACAGATTCTATATTTTCCTTCATTATACAATTTACTCCAGGCGCTTTAAGATCAAGAGCTCCATCAAAGAAACATTGCGGTATGTTGTTATCTATAAATACAGGTGATATGAAACTATATATAAGCTAAATAAATCATTAATCTATATAACATTGAAAAAATGGGAATAATTGTATGAGGCAGTTTCAAATTATGTTTATTTCAAACGAAAAACTGTCATTTTTTTAAACAACCATATAAGCAAGAAAAATAATGAAAATGAAAATGGCAATCCTTTATTTGAAAAAAATCAAAGTCTCGTATGAAACTACTTTCTCCCTTGTATACAAACAAATCAATTCTTCAAAATAAACTATATTTGTTATGTATATAGAAGATTAAAAAGAATGTCTAAATGTTACAAATAATGATTGAAAATTCAATGATTCTAAAAAGTAAATATATTGAACAAAAGATACAATAAATTTAAAATCATATATCAATTTAATTATTTTTTTACATAGCGACAAATAACTCATATTCTTAAATTTTAAAATTTGTCTGTTCTACAAAAACTTGAATAATATTTCCATTCAATTGATATATTTTTCCGAGCTACACATAAATTTTATCTCTGTATATAAATAAGCATCGTATTATAGTCTAAATTAAATGATACAAAACGTATTCGCAAATATAGGTGAAATAAACTGGAATATAGATGCATTGAAAGAACGGGAAAAGAGGAAATAAAATATCCAAATTAATTCAAGAGATATTTGATTTTTATTATACATGTAAATATATATATAGAAAAAAGAAAGTACAATTCAAGACATTCTCTTGTACGTTTAATTTAGTAAGCTCGAGACAATTACTTTATTAGCCGTTAACGTTAGTAATAATTAGTTATAAATATATAATAACTTGCATTCTGTAGGCCAAAATTGATTTGATAAAAAAGCATATACATTGTGCTTTGTGACAATCAAGCGTATATTTCTAGGAAATCTCTTCCCTTGAAAGTTTATCGGTCTCTGAAATCTTTCCTAGTTATATCTCGGCATACCTACCCGATGAAAGCGATGGAAGCGTCTCGGTTTCCCCACCAAGTCCCAAATATATTATTGCAAGAACTACAAAGAATAGGGCAAGTACTGCCACGAGGCCCATCGATACGATGTTCTGATTATTTCGTACATTCTCCATGTCTGTATTTGTCGTCGGTTTATATGTCGCTCTACTGAAAATATCTCGAACCCTGTCAGCGGACGATGCAGTATATCTCGAGCTAAATAATATTTATTATTATACATTACATATAATTCAAATAAAATAATTTATATATACCTTAGCTGAGTTGACGAATACATGTTCCTTAAGGAAGAGAAGTGACCATTCGAATCTCTCTCTTTCACTTCTGGTAAACCAGAAGTCAAAGTATGGCGTAATGTAGGATCTAAAGTTATAAAAAGTTTTTATGTGAGATAAACGCACGAATTAAATACATGAGTATAATATAAAATTCTTATTTTGAACTAAACAGATATATTTTTTAATAATTAATTTGATCTAAATAAACTAAATAAATAAAATTACAAATAAAATTTTTTAATTAATTATAGAGGTGCGAGCGTAACATTTGGTTCAAAATAAGTGTCTCATATTAAAGTATATTAGGCTTTATTGTATATATTAAGAGATTCACTTACTTTTTAAGCTGGACAACGTTGATGGTGGTGTATTTGTGTTTATTAAAGATTGTGAACTGAGTCTCCTTGTAAACTCTGATAAAAATGGAGTTTCATAATTTGCAAGAAGATCCCTCTGATTCGTATTGTCCCTTCCACTCACGTCTTCCTTTGTGGATTGAATCGGAGAGACGCTTGGCTTCAAAGGAGATACATTGTATTTGCTGTCCTTCCATCCATAAGATGGCCTCGTTTTAGATATCTGATCGTAATCGAAAGTCCCGCGATCGTATACTCGAGAATCATACAGTCTGCTGCTTGGATTGGACAAATACTTATCGTATGAGCGTCCATATGAACTTCCAGCATCCTCCACGACATCCGAGTCCGATCCAGTTTCTAAACCATCAGATACATAAGTTTTCTGTGTCTTGTTAAATTTGCTCGATGTAGTTTTTGAAGTTGTACGAGTCACAGAAGGCATGCTTGAGTCAAAATTCGTCACATTAGGATCTTTGAACTCAGAATGTGGTGGCGACAAATTCTCCTTGACTGGATTTTTTGTAACACTCGCAACATCAGGGGGAATAATCGAAGGTGGAGGCATAGGATTTGCCAATGTTTGCCGACGCAGATTTGTACTCTTCTTCTTCTTAACAACATTCGTGTTTGTATCGTCGTCTGTGTCGTCGCTGCTATATCTAATGCATAGATGAAGAAAACAATAATATCAAAAGGGAGATACAAAATATATTCTACATATACATATAATTGTCTAGTATATTGGAATTCAATTAAAAGCATAAGAAATATTTAGAAATAGATTATAAATATATTTAAATTAAAATCTTATTAGCGCTAAATCTATTCTTGTTAGCTAAATTTCTTGCACAATTAATCTTCTATAATAAGAAAAAAAAGAGAATCTGAATTGTATAAGAAATTCAGCTGAAAACAGGCCTTCTGTTAAAACTCCATGAATTTTTTTTAACTTCTACAGTACAACATAGATTTAATTCGAGGAATAGCAACAGTCGCAAAGAAAACAGCTATATTTTATAAATAATTAGTGTTGCGAACTAAACGTTATGGCATCACACATTGCCAAAAACTGAATGTAAACATTGCTGCTCCATGCATCATCTTACATTCAGAATCGAGATAAATAAATAGATCTTTTCTGACGCTACAGAGAAAAGAATCTTACGTCGCGTGCTTCGTTTAGCTGTGACATTAAAGATTGTTATCGCACGCCGACGTCGCCAAATTTGAAACTTCAGTAGAATCATAACATTATTTTCGATTCTACTCGACCTTTCCTTTCTGTCTGTTTTTTTTCTCTCTCTCCGCTCTTTCGCCGAAATCTCGGGCTTACTCCAAACTTCAAGTGTATAAATGTGACACATGCTGAAAGAAAACTCGTGTCGGTGCATCTTTTCAAAGGAACGCTTACCTGGCGGCTAACGAATGCCGGGATCCTCCTGCCCCTCCGCCGCTGCCGCGGGCCTCCATGAGGTTCTTTAACTTCTTGGCGAGTATCTTGCGGGTCGTCTGCGTCACCGGTCCCACCGGATACCCGTACTCCATCAGCTTCGTCCGAAGCTCGGAATCGCTGAGCGCGTCCACCGACATTTTGTCTCACGAGTGATCGCGTTCTCAAACGGACGAGACACCCGGCTTAAAAAGTGACGGCCCGATCGGCCGACGGTATCACGACGTTTACGGGACGTCTCCGTTTCACGGACACACGGTCCCGTTCCGGTTTATTTCGATCGATGATCAATCCTCCGCTGCCCGCCGCCTTCACAATTCGCGCGTGAGAGACGCTCACTCGTTCGCCGTTGTGCTCCTTCGTGGACGTCCGCGCACGTGGACGATACGTACGTACCAACCGGTCGTATCCCGGTTTCTGTGCGGCCGCACAACCAACTCGCTCTCGTCCTTTCGTCTCCAGTGAGATCCTCCTGAGACCCCGCTATGTGATCACGCGCACCACCACCCGCGGCCGTCTCTTTCGGTACCGTCCGGTTATTGCGCGGCTGCCTTCCTCCACCGCCAAACAATTCAACTCGCTCGGTAACTGCAAAAAAGAAAAATGGCGCAATTTTCTAACGGTCGCGGACGCGTGCATACGAGATACGCAGCCGCATACGTGTGTAGCGTAACGTTCGACGCGTTTCCATGAATTGGTAGGAATGGCTGCGTTCGGCGGATTCAACAGTTGAGTAATCGCTCGCTGCTATTGATATGTTCTTCTAGATCTAAAATGTTGATTGGATTCATCTAAAAGAATACACTAATAATAGTCAATGGGAATCTCGATGTCTAAAGCGCTCCAGTCTCCTATCGGTCGCGAATGAAACTTGTCTGATTGGTCGGATGAATGGCGGGAATTTTTATTTCGTGCTCGAAATCTACTTTAAACTAAAGTTGCTAATAAAAAGATTAATAAAATCGATGGAGCAAGATAGTTTAAGCTTTAAAAGTAATTTTTAATTTTTAGAAATACTTTCCTAAGCGTTGCTTTGAAATTGGTACATATAAATGAAATTTAAAAGCAATACATAACTTGCGCTTTTTTTTGTTCTTTAAATTTATAAGAAAAACTTGATGTTTCAAAATGTCTAAAAAAAGTTTTATTGGAATCAGTTTTTTCGTGTAAATTAATTGATTACTCAAAATAATTGTAACAAATAAAAATATGTAGAGAAAAAATGTAAGAAAAACGTAAAAAATATTATGTAAAATAATAAATTTTAAAAAACTAAAAAAAATGGAAAGATTTGAAGAGAAACAAGATGAAACTCATCGTGCTCAAGCTAATTTTAGACAATTTGTAATTTTCTATATCATATAACGCAAAAAATATTTAAAAGATATATAATTAAAATTGAATATAACCTATTATAAACTATTTTAAATTAATTATTTCAATTAACTAAAAGAAAACAATTTTAAAAAATTAAAATACATGTATATCACATACATAGCATACAAAATTATAAATAGAATTTTATCATAAAATTTGACATGAATTTAGAAGCCTAAGGACTTTAAACACATATACATAAATACACAGTATATAGCTTTAACGTTACATTTTGTCCTTTGTACAATACAATACGTTAACATTGGAGTATGGCGCACAAATAATATATCAATTTATATAGGATCTATATATAGTTATATGTAATGGTATACTTATTACGGCATATAATATACGTAGTGCGATATGTATATGCTTTAAAATACTATACAACTGCTGTGTTACTGTCGAAATGCATGCCTAAACAATCGTGTAATTAAGTCAGCGACGATACGTCTTCATTTTGTTATACGAATTGTTATACAATTCTATTCGACTGAAAGTTGATCGCCAAGAGTAGAAAATGGCAAATGTAGTGACTATATCGCGATTCTGTCGACAATTTGCAAACGCTAGCGCAGTCAGAGAGGGATTCCAATTTAAACTTACATATATTATATATAAACTTATACTTAAGTATGTAAACTTACATACTGCAGTTAATTAGAGTTAGTAGAGAAATCTATTTTGAAAATCTTAAATACTTAATCTATATCGTTTATTTATTTAATTTTATTAAAAAAGATTATTCCGATATGTTTCACTGTAGACAACAGATTTTCGTCTCATTAATCCAAGTATGTTTTCTTTTTCCCTTTTTCTTCTTGCAAATAGACGACAGAATTACACATACACAGGCAGCATAGACGCAGGAGTGACATAACGGATTGTCTTATATGCTATGTGCATGTTTTATATATATGATGTATAGAAATCACGAACTCGTTACATATACTCTGTAATTCCTTACTAACTCTTTGTATCGCAATATTGTTTCTTATATATTATAAAGTACTACAACATACGCGGTAAAGTCGTTTAAGCAGTTAAAGAATAGAAAATCTACTGTATAAGCAGAATATAATGTAACAACATTGTACTCAATTCTTAATTAGTCTCTTGAATCTCTCTTTTTTCTTCCAATTTTTTCTTTTTTTTTTTATCGCGTCGGCCGAAAATATTTCAACGAACCTATTTGCTTTCGAAAGCATATAGAAATCGTATTGCGATGAGGAATTCAAATGCATCAACGTAGACCGTATTCGTCAAATACTGCAAACTGTTTACGCATCAGATTGCTACATCTGCGATAACGCTATAAACTACACGTACTTATAAAATATTATATCTATATATTTATATATATTATATATATATATATACACATATACGTACACGTATCTAATGCAAATAACGCAATAAATAACATCTGCCCGAGCTGCCTCCGTTCCATCCTGCATTTAAAAAACGTGTCTTGTGCTTTATAATTAACTTAAAAGATGAGGTAATAAGTTCAAAAATATACGCTACGAATGATGGATATAGCTACGCCTCGAATTGCAATGTAAGAGTTTCGCCTTCAAGCGTTCGAAAGAAACTCATTTGGTATGCATGCTGCACAGAAGTCCATATTCTTCTTCTGATGCACATATACATACGCTACTCTTTTGTTCGTAATCAGTGCTATTGACAATATAAAACAGATGAGAATAACGATCGGTACACGTAATAATGATAAGCCTTAGTCGAGCCGTTCTCTATCACGTTAACGCACACTCATTTCTCTTTGTTTTTGATGAATAACTAATAAAACACTCACAAATGATTCGTAAGACTTAAACGAGACTTGTACGCCACTTCAGCCATGCGCTATCGTTTTAAACGATTAATACTTAAAGAGCTGTCAGTCCGCAATAAAGCCCTTTATCATAAATGAGAAAAAATTTACCTCCATTACAACAATAAAGTGGTAAAGCTATATATATATATATATATATATATA